AGTTTTTGAGGAGGGCGGTGATAAAGAAGAACTATCAGGAAACAAAACTATCTGATGTTATACAGTAAAGAAACATCTTAGTGTATAAGACTGAGACAAAATTAGACAATGGTATTATCAATATTAATGAAAACAACAGCAGCAGCAATAATAATTGTTATTATACTAATTACTTGTTGTTTTTGGGAAACTGTGAAGCTTACTCAGAGAAAAGGTCTTTTAAACATTAAAACAATGAAAGTTCATTGCGAAAACTTATCAGCTGAAGAATCTGTCAACCGATATCACAGAATTTCTTTTTTTGACATATTGCATATATGGTAATCAAGTATGACTGCAGGTGGACTGTGGAAAGCACGTAGAGTATAGGCAAACGCTACAAATGTCACTTTCAACTTGTTTCAACTACCCAACGTAGAATCGTCCACAGAACTGCAACTACTTTTAAAGTGAGCGATTAACAAAGAAAACGTAAACTAAAAATTACGCTTTTAATAAGATTTCAATTATTTTAAAAAGTGCTTATAAAAACGAGTTATTTAGATCAAAAACTACTGGTGTTTTAGTTTACATTTTTTTAGTTGCACCAACATTTGTGCGGTAAACGCTGATTAATTCTTCTATCGTGATACACGTATCAATATTTATAACTGCAAACGAAAACTATTCAGAATGTTAAAAGAGTTTTCTGCTTTGGTGGAATAAAAACACAAAAAAAGTGGCTTAGAACACAGTTTTTTCTGTTTCTATAAAACCCTTTTAAGCGTTAAGCTTTTTTCAAACGTGTTTCACTGCTTTAATACCCCCATCCATTCGTTTGTATTGAATTCGTGACAGTGAAAGCGCATTGCTGGTTTAGTACAGTTGGGAATGAGAACAATAAACCACTGTTGTTTTAGAAGATCATTCCATAGATGCTTAAACAGACTGAGCAATTTTTATTTTCTCCACTTATCTGCTCAACTTTTTCCTTAGTACATTTCTCAAAAAACCTCAGATTTGATGAGAACGGTAACCACTTCTTAGCCAAAATTGTTCACGATTATTAAATGAAATGAACACTATTGATTTTTGTTCATTTTGCCTTCTTTTCACTGCTACTTTTTGGATCACTATTAAAAGTGGAACTGATAGCTCAATTATATAACAAAGATATTGTACACAAAAATAAATGCCTTTAATCAGCCATTTAAGCTTATTATAAGTGGATTAGCCTCGTCCAGAACATGACATTTCATTATAATTTTTGCTAATGATACGAATAACAATTTCCGTTTCTCAGCTGTGTACAATATAAATAAGTTCCACTTTTTTAGTTTACTAAATGGTTAATTCGGTTAATAAATAAGAAATAAATGAATATTAACTTCTGCTAACAGCTAACAACAACTGCACTACTTAAGGAGCTCAAAATAAGTCTACTTTTGTTTCCTTCCCATCCAATGAAACGACTAAGGACTGTACAACATAGAGTACCATAAAATTTTTGTTAAACTTTTTTTAATTTTTTTCCGGTTTTCAAGTATTTGTAATTAAAAATGATATCACTTAAACAGTTATCTTGTAATTTTTTTCGCTTCATGTTTACGGTTTAGAAATTAAAGAACAGTGTAGAACTTCTCAACGTCAGCTATTAGTTGATGACAGTTTAATACGCCATTTTTTCAAAAAAAAATTAGCTTCAAAGAAGATCAAATACTTACACATTCCCATTATAAAGTGACTTAGTAGACAGGATCTGATTTTTGAAGCTCCTGTATTTTGCGGTACCGTTGCTGGTGCGACTGTTCTTTTTGTCGTTATATGCCCGTCATCTGTATTTTCACAAAACTACAAAATATCAGGTTTCTTCTTCACCCGAACTTTTTTTTAAGATATGAAACTTCAGTCTTTGAAAAGAGTATATCTATATATTTGGTCACCTTTGGCACTTCGTATAACGGCAAGAGGTATTTCTTTGACCTTTCTTTAAAAACTTCCAGAGGACAAGCCTGATTTTTAGGACATCCTGAAACGACGAAACCTCTTATCAGCAATTACCATTTATCTGACGAAGAAGATATCCATAGATAAGCTACTGTATTAGGTTGTTATGATTTTTTTCAAAAAAACTGATTTAACCACCCAGTCACTAGTAAAATAAACAAATGTTTAAGTAAAGAGATTATCAGTATTACCCACCATTAATTGTATCTGTAATGTCTTCAAGTTCTTTTTCGTATTCTCCGCGATGATACAACAACTGAAAGCATCCTTTTACTGGAAGAATGTTCTGCTATTTAGATCATCCACACAAAAGCGATTTCATTTAGTTTCTGCTTCATGTCGTCAATATTATACTTTTATCGAACTTTTATTGCGCTTATCAAGTAAAATAATTAACAAAAAAAAAGAAAAACCCGAATTGAGTAGCCGGATGAAACTTGTGGAGTTCGCCATAACTCCAGCAAAACACCTGCACTGTAGTTTGGAATACCAGCATGAACGATTTTATCAAAGCATCCCAATGTTATGAAAAGAGCGTTCAGCGTGATATCGTGCTAAAGTCGATTTTTAGCCGCACAATTTTAGATAAATTCAAGTGAAATATTAAGTGTTTCACAAATATCAACAAAAAACGTGCCACAACGAAAAATCTCATAATCAACTTTATTAAACGATGAAAAGAGACTTACTGACGAAAAAATGTAGAATTTTCTAGCTTCAATTTTTTTACAGCCAGTGTCCGTACTGTTGCTACAATAAATCTAAAAAATCAATTTTCAAATATTCATTTTTTATTTTTAAAATGAAAGAGGTTCTCAGAAAAATACTTGTAAAGATTTGCCACTACCTTTTCGCAAAATGCATCTGCTCTCCAACTAAACTTTTAAAAACAATATGTACTTTATTAAGGTTTAATTAGCATCAAAATTAAATCCACCTTCTCCTCCATGTTTTGAATGAGATGCCAAAGCAAGGGTCCACCTCTGATTTTAGGCAGCTCAATGCTTAAGTCTAAACCTTGAATAATAGGAGAGCCTGCAAAAAAATGACTTTGGCTTAACTTCATTTCAGCAACTTATGTATTCAGAAAAAACAGACAAAAGCCACAAATTGGGAGGTATTGATAAGTGTTCAAATCTCTCCAAGAATTTAGTAAAAGTGTTTGATTCAAAGTAAGGAAAACAACTCACTAAGAAAACCAGATTTGATTGTTTCTGCATAAATGTCAAGCCCTTTTAATTCATTGAACAAGCCAGCGTCAAAAACTTGAGTTTTATTGTACAAGTCCTTAAAACAGAACGTTTAAGCCATTAAACATGTCCAAAACTGAATATTCTGACTTACATTCAAATATTTGTAAATAACTGTTGTCCTAAAAACAAAACTTTAAAAAAAAATTTTTCACCTCTACAAGCCATGTATCTACAGGTCCATTAAGATTAAGAAGAGTGTTGTCATTACCGCACCGATCGTTGAGGTGTTGAAGTAGTTCCTCAAAAACAGTAATATCTATTATTCTGGTCCATATGCCATTAGACGATACATTGGTTAAGACTGCCAACTAGTGAGCGAGAGCCAAATGTCGGTCAAAATAGTATAATAAACAATAGGTTACTTTATTCTGTTCCAAAATCTGCGTAACCTCCGGTGAATTTACAGCAAGATTTTGAAGCCAAGTCTTTCGCTTACAGCTTGTATATGGAACATCGGCATACTACAGATAAACTATTAGTACATTATTAAAAACAGTGACTATTTAGCACAAAAATTTTGAAACTCTTAAAACCGTATCACAAATTTATTTTCTTAAAAACTCACTTTTGCCACCTTGCCAAACTCTTCTGGTTAAAAAATTTATTAAAACATTAACTTCTTTCATTTCACATTTTTTAATAAGACTATATTTTTAAATTAGAGCTTAATTGATTACCGGATCATTGGACCTGTAAACTGTATGTATAGGTATTGGCACATATCCTGGTGGCCACCTCGGCGTTTCCGCAGAATCAGGGTAATCTGATCTAGGCTGTACGCTTTGATTGTAAAATGCACCAATTAAATTTGATATTGCGCTAATTATTGTTCTGTTATAGTCAGTAGACCTCACATACACCTAAAATAAAAATATTATACTTTTTCTTCCAAATTTCGCTGATTTTTGCACCAGTGCAGAGGTTTTAATAATTGTTAATTTATTAATAAATACTTTAAGTTAGGATAAACAAAAATCTATTTAAATTAGTCAAACGACACCACTTGAAACAATTAGTTATTGTAAATGACTTCTCACCTCAGAAGCCCGATAACTGTTGCTTAAAAAGCCAAGACTTTTTGAATATTTGTTATATATTAAAGAACCAAAGGTCATGTGCTGCCTCATTCCGGTCTGCAAATCATCTGACATACTCCGTCGTATTAGTAACAAAAGCAAGAAAAGTCTCATATCACAACAACAATAAAAAAGTCTGTAAGTTCAACAGCAACGAAAAAAAATGTTAATAATATTAAGAAATTGACAGCAATGCAGATGTTTGAATTTTTAACGCTCTTTAGGTAGCCCAAAGTAACTCAGCGGAAAAACTTTCGCCACTACTTCGTTCACCATTGTTAACAGTTTTCAGGCATCTCTTACATATGAAGCATATTAAGAATTTTTTCCTTTCTTTCTCATGCTGCATTGAATTTTCTTTGATAGTTCGTTGTTCACTGGAGTATTTTTAAAATCAAAGCAACTATTACTGATTAAAAAAATTATTCAAAGTAGCAAAAAATAAAAAGGAAGTGGAAAACTGATGACTTAACAAACGCTTTTGTTAAGTAAGATGCATTATAAATTCAAATTTATGCACTTAACATTGAAAATACTGTACGTCTACTATAAGTCCAGTCACAAATATGTTCTACGACTAGTTAAGAAAATTAAACGTAGAGTGCGCTTTTATCCGACTACGTTTTTACATCAACTTTAAAAGCCGCTGCCATAAAAAGTCAAAGCTTATAAAGAAAACAATAGAAATATCAGGTACAGAATTCTAACTTAATAGAGATCAAATTTTTCCAATTTTACAGAAAATCAAAAAAAGAATCCTGACAAACTTAAAAGGGAACTGTCTTCAACATGTCAGTTCATTAAAATGGTTCTTTGTCACAGTCTCGTAAATCTACAGATTCAATGCAGCTTTGGGCCTAAATATTACTGCACTACATTTTCCTGGCTTTCCTAAAAATACGACCTACAGCTGTTAATTGATCAAAACCTTGATCCCATGCGGATTCGTTGTTCACGTCTTTTTTACAGACGAAGCCTGCAACCGGGGACCGATCACCATGTCGCCAAACCTGAAATTAAGCACATTTCTTGAAGCCTACCTTTTTGAAACCTATTTCATAACGAGCAGATAAAAACTGACAGAAATTTGAGCTCTTGTTACAATTATCCAATGTTTTCTAATTAGCACCCGACAGTCTCAGCCTTTTTTAAATATTTAATTAATACACGGAGAGAACTCCATTAATTCAGCTTCTTGCAATGAAGTTAAACTTGTCAAACTATAACTCCTCCCCGAATTGAACTTGACATATGCAAACAGAGAAAATATTCCTTTCAGAATACTACCGGAATGTAGTTTTCCACTAAATTAATACAGCAACGAGACAATTCTGGAATCTCTGAGATCCTCTACCGCATTCTCTGAACTCTTTTGCAGAAACTCCCCAATTTTTCCACAACATTCTTCTATGGCGACACCTGCGTAATACAGTAATGGAGCAGCATTGGCACAATTTTAAATCTCTTGAGGCTCTTTTCTCGCGTGCGCTATTCTCGTCTACTACCCGCAGTTCTCTGTCGAAACTTCTCAAACTTTCTTGGGCTATACTGTATCTTGACTTCTCTAATAAAGTAACGGAGCGTAGCAGTAACTTGAAATCCAGTTTACAATTTCTTTGTATTTATCTTTTTTCTTCATGCCTTTTGCAGGTTTTTTCTTCACCTTTACTTCACTGAACTTCTGTGCAGGACTACCGCTTCCTTAGAAGAAGACGTAAATGACATAAAGTCTAAGAATGAGAGGCAAATCAGAAACTGAAAGCATTGTAGTAGAGTTGATTGTTGAGCATGGTTAACAGACAACGAGGTACGCAGATGGAGTTGTCTGAAGCTGTTAAAGGCCAAAAATTTGTTTTTTTAAAACCAATAAGAGGCAAAGTAAGACTTCGTCTGGCTGAAAATGCTTGAGGTAAATTGGCGACGGCTGAGTCCTCCTTCACACGGACTGTAGGCGTTTGAGATGAAACAAGTGAATGAATGTAAACGATTTCTGGACATTTGTACATGTTACGCATTCACACATGCGTACGTATCCAAAGTTCTAATTAAGCATCCACTAATTACGGACCTTTATAATGTTTCTTTGAAGCTGGAGTTCTTTTTGCAAGTTGAGGAACTTGTCTTTGATAGGCAGTTCAATCTGCAAAAAAAACCTTAGCTTCATTTTCTACTTCCTTCGCTTTCCCAATTTAGGCTTGAATACTATGTACAATACTTCACTATACGTTAAGAAATCCGTAGATTAGAATTACCAAGCCTAATTATGTTACACGCACGCCTGTGGCAGTTCATTTCTTGTTTCCAATTGCTAAAAAAGCATACATTCTTAGCTTAAACTCAATATCAGTTCATAAACTACTTTGTAATACCGATCTGTAAGTAGCTGAGCAGATTTGACCGCTGATTAATTCTACTGGTAAAAGTAGAAACTATTACACACTTTGTTTCTAACGAACCTACCGCTTGCACAAATAGCAATTTTTCATCAGCAGAATTACTGGGTGATGAAGGTACCGGCCTCGTCTGTGGCAATTTCATATTTTCTCTCCAAAGTACTTTCTTAAAAGTTGCAAGACGGTCAGTTACACAAGCCTGGAAGAACTTAATCGTTTTTTTTTTTTTTTTT